CCCCCCCCCTCCAGGACGCTCGGAAGAGGAATATACGCGAGCTTGCACCGAGGTGCATGTGCGCAGGCATACGATCAAAAAAACGAAGAGTAAACGAACCACGAAGAACACTGTGTCATCCAGTAGTGAAAATAATGTATTAAAAGAAAACAAGAAGGTTTACCTAAAGTAATAGTCTATTGATTTGTATTTCATTTCGAACTGTATTATAGCTTAAAGAGTATCCTGTACATTGCATAAACACACGAGCACTATTGTTTTAAATTGTACGTTTATGATTATTATACGAAGATAAAAAAAGAAATAAATAAGGTATACAAAGTATTGAAGATATATGAGAGATTTATTGACGATCTAGCTTAAGGATCTTTAATATCTCCTTTGCGCGAAAGACGTTCCGCGAATAAATTATAATATCCGTATCTTCCATGAGAGAATTTGGAAATTAGAGCGATTTATTGCTAGATATTAATAACGGTTATTACCATCTTAGAGACGTTGAGAGCACTTGCTTATCCCTTTATTGATTTTTTTCTTCAGAACACTTTCTTGCCGCGCACTTTGAATTTCGGTTTGTTCATTAATTTTATACATGTTTAAAGCGCGTCATGTAACGTATACACTTGGCAAGTAGGTATCAACATTATATTGCTTTTCATGGAAACAGAATATTTTTCCAGACAGTTTCCCCTGTCTCAGTAAACACTAATAATAATATTACAATAGTGTTATCATTTTCTATTCAACAATATAACTGTTATATATAACGTTATAATATTATATGCACTTACGTTGTTGAGTAAGAAATTATAACATTGATGTAATATTACTGTTAGTGTTTACTGGGATATGTCGATGTTAAGAGGAGTCATTATATTATACATCCCTTTCTTCCAAACTATATACATTTCTAATTATTATTCTTATATTGAAAACATGCGATAAGAGCGTAATTATAATAAAAATATACATACGCAAAGCACTCGATGTCTCCAAAACCTCTAAGTATTGTTATGCTAATTATCTTTGTTATTCTTGTTTCTTAGATGGTTCTTATATTCTCATTAGTTTAAAATTCGCGCAGTAGTTCTTAAAAATGCAATAATACAATTCAATCACAACATAAATGGGAGATCATCTTCACTGTATATACATATAATTATATTATCTATATCAATGTCTCCTTTCAAGAATTTCTAAATTAAAAAGCCTGTATTAAGTATTATGTTGCTAATTATTGCAATAACCTATCTGTTCCCATTCTTCGTATTAACAGAAATATCTCCTTATTCACTCCATAAGATATATCTATGTTGTATATACTTTTAGTTATTAAAATACCCAATTAATACTCAATTAATAAATCAATTAATATTCAATTAATATTAATTAATGTATTAATTCATTATTAATCTCTCATATGGATCTCCATATGTTTCTTACACGTGTAAGTATATTAAAATGTAAAAAATACCTTACTGGAAGGTATAGTATTATACCTTCAAATATATTAAAATGTAAAAAATAGGAAATGAAAAGTTACTTCATACATATCTCTTGTATCTTTAATTTATCACATTTATTCTAATGCAAATGAAAAGTAATGAAACAGTTCGTATTCAAAGGTAAAATAAAAAAAATTTTTAAACATGTTTATTCTACCCTTCTTTATGTTTTACACAAAATTAATTTTCTTTTCACAATTCTCTACTTCAGAGACATCTTGAGAATTAATAAAAGCATCGATGACACTGCAGCCGATACTTACAGGTTTCATAACTACCTTCAATCGCAAATATAAACTTCATACATCTATGATAAACAGTTTTCACCTACCTATTGTCGGTATATAGGAAATATTTAATATATA